GGGTAGGGAACCCTAAAAAAGACAATGGATGTCCAACATAACAGTCTTATTCCAATTAAATTAGGTTGCAAAGGGGCATGAATGATATTAATTTACTTATTTAGTTCTGGAGAGCGTTGAAGTCATGATTATTAAATCCCTCTTAAGATTAGTTGTTCACGTATACAGGGTCTTAAACAACCTCCTACCGAAATCTCTTCTTTACGGTGAGCTTGTAGACGGTAAAAGGAAACCGGGTGGACAACTCAAGAGGTACAAGGATATTTTCCATGAAAACTTAAAGGTGGTAAGCAGAATCAATGAGAGGAAGCAGCGCACAATAGAACGCAATGGAGAAGAATTGTAAACTCAGTTAACAACGACAACCAAAAAGTAAAAAGGCAACAAAGTAAAAAGATTTTTGATTGTCCGGAGAGCGAAAGAGAGATAACATCACGAATCGGGCTTTTCAGTCACAGAAAAGCTCATGAAAGAAAATCCATCTTCTGATACGTGTCAAATACTCGTCAGCGAGTAATAGTAGTAGTAGTAGTAGTAGTAGTAGTAGTAGAATATCCCTGTTAGATGTTCCTTCTGGAGATATTATAGTTCCTAAATATTTTTGTATCCTTCGCACTGATGTTTTATATTGCTGACTTCTAAGTTTCGCTCTTTTTTCAATTCAGAATTAAAAAATAAACAAAAAGAAACACAAACCAAACAAAGTAAACATCAAGATTGGACGTGGTGAATCAGGGCGATAAGGAAACCTTTATTATCGCCATCGTCTAATATTTAAGGCTCTAAATGTAAAAACGAATAAGATGGTTTAACCTTCTAAGTCGTTCTGTGCTCGCGCAGTGCCGGATTAAGGTCCTAGGGGGCCCGGGGCTAGGGGCTACCCTTGGGGCCCCCCAGGTCGGATTATTTTTCCTCATTGCTGTTATTTTCACTTAAACTAATATTGCTTGAAGTTGAACAGGAATGCAGTTCATGATCTTGACGTTGAAGGGGTTTTGCAAATACTAAAAAAGTCTGTTACTTTAGGCAATTTTAAAGTTTTCTTTAGGTTTTCTTCTTATATCTTAAATTAATTTAAAATATTCCTAAGTTTTCGTAGATTGAAAAATACAGAGTGTTCCGAAACTATTGTACCAAAATCTAAAGGTTGGTAGATCTCCCCAAAATAAAAGTTTTGAGATGGGACACTGAGGGTGCATCCACACTATCCTGAAAACGGCGTATCGGCGTAACGGCGTAACGACCTTGAATCGATTTCCAGTAATTCTATTGGCAGTAATTTTTGACAAATGAATTTGACAGATAAAATTTCTGACAGATGAATTTTTCAGCCAATAGAATTACTGGAAATCTATTCAAGGTCGTTACGCCGTTACGCCGATACGCCGTTTTTAGGATAGTGTGGATGCACCCTGATGGTCGGAAATGCGTCGTTTTCAAAGTACAGGGTGTTAAACTTTTAAGAAAAAAAATCGATCTTTTTTAATATCTATTATACCACCCTACGGTACTTAAACAAAATATTATTGAATTGAATATTATTGCACCGTTTTCGCTTAAAATAATAAAAACAATTTTCATACATGACCAAATCGCTAAAATGGTAATGAAATTTTAATGGTAAAATTTGAAAAACGACAATAATTTAGTTTTGGTTGAACATAGTTCGTACTATGTTCATAGAAAGAAGTTTTTGGAAAATAAAAAATCTTTTTAAACTTAAATTTGCCGTTTTACCAATTTTGCTATTTAAATTTATGGTAACATTTTAGCGATTTGGTTATGCATGAAAATGGTGTTTATTTTTTTACGCAAAAATGGTGCGTCGGATAAAAAAAGTCAAGAAATAAAATATGTTGTAAATTGAATGGGGATTTCAAAAACAATATTAATTTTATTTAAAAAGTAGTGGCGTTACCATTCAACGCGAATGGCAATAGAGACTTCAAACTCTACAGATATAAAAAGACTCAAAAGACCTTTAAAACAAGGTATCACTCGACCCCCTATTCCATTTAAAATTATTTTTAGGGTGATAGTGCCGTCAAAGGGGTGCAAGCAAAGAGGGTGTAAATACCAAGGTACTTATAATATATTAATGCGCTTATTTTTAAAAGAAGAAAACTTAAAAAAGTTATTATTAATTTAATTGTCAATACCAAAATTATTATATAAATGGTCATATCAAGTAAATGCATAATAAGGCTAAAACTGATTCCTACCTTACGTTTAGCAGATCCACTAAGATATTTTCTGCTACATGATATTTTTTAAAATACTGGTATACACTACACAGTTAAAAACGTATTATTGTTCTTGTTTTCTTAAATCTATTATTCGCAATCGCTTACTTCATAGATGCGCTATGCAAAAATTACTAATCAAATAGAATAAAAAAGAGCATTCTAATCTGAGTAATTCCCCTAGCGCTTTCGGCTTTCGGTAATTCATCCATCCAGAAAAATTTTAAAAGAAGAACGAGCCATTGTCTATGCAGCACTCTTGATATTTTTTGGGGAAAGTGTGTTGCCGCCCAAAAAAAAAGAAGAAGAGTCTGTTTTTAACATTATGAGAATAACAAGTTGTCTGTTGCAATATATTGCAATATATTTAATAAGACTAAATACCTATGTACATTTTCATTTAACTAATCTCGACTAAATTCTCCTGATTCGGGGGCCCCTCTCAATGACGGGGCCTGGGGCTATAGCCCCCATAGCCCCCCCCTTAATCCAGGCCTGTGCTCGCGGTACACAACGTGGACCCATAAAAATGCAAATATCGACCTGTCCAGTCTGCGTCGCAAGACCTTATTATAAATGAAAATCCCAGTTCGATGTTCCTTCTGGAGATATTATCGTTCCTAAATATTTTTTGTATTCTTCGCACGGTTTTATGTTGTTCACTTCTAAGTTCCGCTCTTTTTTTCAATGAAGGATTAAAAAATAAATAACAACAAACCAAACAAAGTAAACATCAAGATTGGAGACAAAATAAACTTAAAATTTTATCTTTGTGAATCAGGGCGATAAAAAAGCCTTTATTATCGTCATAGTCTAATATTTAAGGCTCTAGTTGGTATAAATGTAAAAACGAATACGCTGGTTTAGCCTTCTAAGTCGTTCTGTGCTCGCGGTACACAACTTGGACCCATAAAAATGCAAATGTCGACCTGTCCAGTCCGCGTCGCAGGACCTTATTATCGTGGTCGTCGTCGCCGTGGGTGGACCGAGGTTCGCCGACGGCTCACCTGGGGGATCCACCGTCCGTAGGACGGGAGGCACGCGCCCGTGGTAGTACCGGGTCGCTGGACGGGTATATGCGTGTGTTTGTTTGGGTTTGAAATAGAATCTTATATGTTTTATAGGTTTATCGGTGGCTAAGTTGTCGGATTTGGGTGGGCCGGTGTAAAACAAACACCTGGAGGTGTCTAAATACTGTAGATATGTTATTATGTTACCTTTTACTTAATTTTGAGAAGGTATTTGATTACAAGTAGTACTACTAACATATTAAAACAGCTCTAATAATAATAACAATCTTAGCCTAATGCTGGGACAGAAGAAAATAGCAATACCTACAAGAAACTGGTTTCAGAGAATATTGTGGGCATTACTGGTCTATAGTACTAGGAGATTTGACAGGTCACGAGCTTGGATCACCCTTAAAAGGAAAATTCTACTCCTCCAACTCCAAGTGTGGAGCGTGGAGTGTGAACTAACATCTGTAAAGCCGTATTAGATGGCTTTTGACAAAACTCTGAGACTATACTCACGAAAAAGGGACCCTGTTTTTTTTCTCAGGTAAGATTTCGACAGACGATGACAGAAAAAAAGCAGATGACTTCCATACTAATCCATTTATTTCACTAAAAAAAAGTTTCTAGTATTTTTTAAGTTAACTATGGATGGGTTTATAAATAAATTCGTCATGCGTCGTCTCTTGTTGTTTTTAACCAGTTTTATTGATTTATTTCGAAAATGGCAGATCATATATTTCAATATTATTGGTCTGACGGAACGATGAACGACAACCGGACGCCGATGCGTATGAACTCGACTTAAGATTCTTGAGAGTTGTCAAACTCCAAATTATATGTTATAATTTTGTGTTATATTATGTCAAATATAACTGATAAATATTTTGGATTTTGGACTGTGTTGTTACATGTGTGTCGTGTTTTTTAAAATTAAGTGGAGGAAAACTCGAGGGAAAATTAAGTGTTGACCAGACCATAGTTTACAGCAGAAGTTGTCTCTGGTTTAAAGATAATATTCGGTGCCCAGAGACCGCCAGAGAGACAATTTGCCAAAGACTTGTCTTAACCACAAATAAAGTTTGTATACCTTCTCGTATATGGTACCAAAAACTGGAGTATCTGTAAAATAACATCACAAGATAGGTAAATAATATATTTTAGTATTGCAGGTAGATAATGTCAAAAAGTACTGGTTTAAAAAATTAAGATTAAAGTTAATTAACCAACTTTTACAGTATAAAATTCGAAATTAGATATTTTCAGTTTTATACAGTTTTTTTTCACAATATTTTGAAGTAATCACCTCCAATTATACCAACTTATTTCTTTGCAAAATAAAATATACTACTTTGAAATTAAAATGACAGACACATCTATTACTGTCAATAATTTTGTTGTTGGACTGACTTCAAATCGGTAAGGTCGCGATGACCAACTTTAACGAAATCATCCTATTGCTCTCCTACAGAAACAGTCGCGAAAATCCTCGCGCGAAGTCCGGCAACGTCGCCTCTTCGACCCGGCACGCGCCACTCCGACCCACCCCGAACCCGCTCGCGATCGCGCGGCCGGCGCCAGCAGCGCCCGCGAGCGCGGTGACGTCACGCGCGTCATAGGCTAGCGGTGGGGGCAGCGAGGGGAGGCGCCGCCGGCACAGGCGCGCGCCCATTGGCCCGCCAAATATGGCACAGCCGCTTCATTCATAAAACAGTCCCTTCTCTCGCGCGTCGCCAGTCGCACTCCGACCACCGACGAGTCTAGTTCTCCGTTCTCGCGAGAAACGCAACCTTTCGCTTTCAATTTTGTATTACATTATAGAATCCGAATTTAAGATGTTTCGCGACGATGATATCGAACGGCGGGAAGTTGATGCTGTTTCTCATCAGTGATTGAAAAATTTAAACAGACTTAACAGAGGGATACTTTCGAGTCGTTTGTAGTGGATCCTACGCGTGAGTTATCTCCACCGAGTGACGACAAGATGATAATGGACACTCTGGACACGTTGTCCGGGCACCATCACCATCACCACGTCTCGCCGGCGTTCCTGCTGACCGAGACCGCGGCGGCCGCGGCCGCGGCTCACCACTTTAACGTGTTGAGCTTCGACACGTGCCTGTACAAGGGGGGCTCGGGGGCCAGCAGCGGTGGCAGCCCGACGCCGGCGTCGGTCTGCGCCTCGGAGGGGGAGACGCAGGGGGTGGAAGGCGCCCCCGGGGACCTCAACACGCCGGTGACGACGGCGGGGGACGCGCCGTCGTTCTTCGGGCCGAGCACGGTGGTAGAACCGCCACCCATCACAGGTTAGTCCAGAATATGGATGATTTTTTGTTCTCTACAATGATACCAAGATCACCTAAGTTGATACTCCTTTCATTATCCTTGATAAGTTGAACTTCCATCTACTCTTCTTTCGTACATCTACGAAATTTCTCCTAGTTTATGATCCCTTCATGACAGCATGTAATGAGTTCCTCATTTATTAGCTGTTTCCTGCTTTTATTCTTCTTCGGTTATTCTTTATCCTTTCCTCGATGTATCTAAGGTGCTTTGATGCTTCTCCATGCTCTCCTATTCTGTGGTACTTCTAACAACCAATTTTCTACTTGCCTTATATCAGCAAGCATTATCAGCAACTTAAGTTATCTTGGTTACTGCGGCTACATTACAATAAGTACTTAATTTCAGGAATTTTCAATTATTGTAAACGCTCCTTCTTCTACATGTAGTGCTCCTGGAACTTTGGAAATAAACAGTTCTTTTATCAATAGCCTCTTGATGCTTGTTTCTTATTCGATTACTTCAACTCTCAACAACTTTCTTTAACAGCTCAATGTTTTTGAGTTGTTTCATGATTCTTCACGCTGTTCTACCCTGTGTTATTTGAAATATAATTTCTGTTGCTCCTATGTGGTCAAGCTTTATATATTTCCTGTTGTTATATTATTTCTCCTTCAATCAATTTTGTACTTATTATACTATTAAATTTAATTCTATGAGTTTTCACAATTATTGGAAGCACTGATGCTTCTTGTACCATTTATTGATCCTTTAATTTCTTTTATCAAATGATTTGTTTTTCTTTGATGTTTAGGTATTCGATATTTTTTTTTAATTTCATTCATAAACCTTAAACCACCTTAGAATAGATAACAATACCTCTGTGGAACTTAACACTGAACTATTTTTCTTTCAATTGTCAATTGAATGTTTTGGCTTATTTGGTGAATTTTCAATTGGCTTACTTCTTTTTAAATCCTCTTTTACTCTTCCACCATTTTTTCAAAAGCAAATTATTTCTTTGACGTTTATTCAAATTTCATTTGGAAATCTGACCAACGTTTTGAATAATATCACTGTTTATTATTAATTTGAATCTTTATAATACGCTGGACCAGTGTGTGATACTGGGATAGTTTTATTTTTTATTCGTAAATAGTTTTTTCTTTAACAATTATGATACATTTGCTATAAGAATAAATAAACTTTTAGGGTGAAACGATCTAGTATTCTTTATCACTTATAAAAAAGGGTTTTGTTTTCAAATGTTCTAATTACATAACGTTATACCAACCTTTGTGTTTGGTTTGCAGTGCACGGTTTATTAAGTTTATTCAATGTTATTAAGACACTGATCCTCAATTTTCGGATAACTTTGTCAAAATATAATATTCATTATCGGTATAAGAAACAGCTTTTTCTGTTATTTTCTACCAATTATTGGAATTAAAATTGGAATTTCTAAACCATGCATCTGTTATGTATAACGTACTTAAAATTGAAAAAACAATTCTGGGTCCACAGGGGATATTCCGGAAAAGTGAAGCATGACAAAATTGTTGCCGAATTTCGGATAAAAAAGACTCATAAGTGGGACTAGAAACAGTCAGAAAACTTAGGTTAGGAGACTACCATTTGGAGTCGTCCATGATGCATCAATTTCTAAATCCGAAAATTTTCTCTGCAATATGTGGTATTGGTTAAGAGCCTATTTCAGTAATTATTACTACAAAAGAATGTAAGAATTACCGATAAGCAATTTAGTTTTCACTACAATTTGTAGTTTTGGTTAAGGCCGAAGATGTCATTTTTACTACAATAGAACGGAAATATTGCCGACATGCAGATTACATTTTACTACAATCTTTGAGGAATTAATAATTGATTTGCAGTTTATGACCCTAAATATTTCCGTATTGAAACCTTATTCTACAAAACTACGAACTGCTTCTGCAACTTTTTAATTACAAAAAATAGTAAATATTACTACAACTTGTATTTGGCCCATATACTACTACAGTTTGCAACAAAGGACTTTACAATTGTAGCATTATTCACAACATTTTATTTCGTGCGTGTGATAAATACTATACTTTATGTTTGAATTTGTAAATCTATAAAGATAGTCAAACTCTTTTGTTTATCAATAATTCCATCAATAACTTATTTAACTCTTGGTCTTTATCAAACAGCACTAACAATTTTGATTGCATTTTATTAATTAAACTGTGTTCATGAAATCTGAGTTTATACAACAAAATATCCAATAAAACTAGTTAATCTCCCTTTCTGACGTTACTATCGATCTGTCTCCCAACTGGGCGCAATCCTATCATCCCTCCGCTTTCAGAAAGGTCAAGGTCGGTGAACCGTCGAGCCCTCAAGGTCATCCAGAAGCAATTAAACGAGATTTCCTTGGAAAAACAATTTTTCCCGTCTAGTACTTTTAAAAGATCTCCGGATAAGATGCTTACCGTTTCTCCTAATAGCGCGATGAACAAAAAACAGTTTATTTTTATAATATCCATTGCCTGTCTGGAATAGTGTCCAGACATAACATACAGACGCAAAACATTTTAATTCGTTCAATTAAATACCGTATGTTTAGAAAAAACAGCTGGAGTATGTGAAATCTTTAAAATGGTATTATCTAATTCGTTAATAATTATTTGAACAAGACACCATTATTTGTAAACAAACCAATAAACTCCATGTTGAGTACTTCTCCATGGACAGTCTGTTTTTTTCTGGTCCAGAATTTTACTGCACTGCGCGTTATATATTTGGGTATTCCCAGTACTGGCTCTGAACCAAGATGGGATTCCTATAATATTAAAGTAATGATGAAGAACGAACATTAAATCTTATATGCACTAAAGATAGTAATAATAATGACCATCATGTAACAATTATCGCCAGACATGTGATGTATCGATTCTTTCAAGTATATAATATTCCATTTTATTTTGATTTGTTATACTTAACATTAAGAAGTATGAATTATAGTAAATAATTGGGCAATTAGACCATAATTATGTAATACCATACCGTAATCATATTTTTTTTCTTCCTAAAAGCATATTGAAAAGGATTATGGACCCCTATTTTTTCGGGATCCTTTATTAAAACAACCAAAATTCCGCATACTATACTTACCCCGAATACATATGAACTATTTAGACGGTTATTTGATTACTCTAGAGAATAAACGTTGTTCCTCATCTCCATTTGAATAATCTAAATGGTTTTCCACTTACTCGGCAACGGCTGAAAACTAATTTATTGTGTTCGTATGAATTTGAAACTCGATTATGAAATAGCCTATGAAATATTACTGACAAGAGTGTTGTTAACTCGAACCTTGGTTAATTTTACTCGTGACATTTTCAATTGACATTATTATGAATTAGCGAATTTTATATATTTTAGCAAAATTGGAGAGCATGATTGAAAAGTCTTCTCCCAAAGTCTTTATAGTTGTATATTGTGAGTTTTTTTCCCTTTCTTGAGTTATAACTCATCATACAGTCTCAAGGTTTTGACAAAAGCGAGTATCTGTGACGGGTTTGCAAAGGTTAGTTCTCCATCTCCGATATCAGTCGTACCAAAGTTTATGGTACGAATGGTTGTCGTCTCGGCGCACTTAGTAATGAGGCGTACTGGTGTTTCGCCATTTTTCCCACAGAATCTGCATTCGTAGTTGTTTTTTAGCTTCAATCTATTGAGGTGTTCGTTGAAGAAGGAGACAGTGTCCTGTTAAAAACCCCGTGACAATCCCAAGTTTGTTCTGACTTAAATCAAGGAAAATCGGGGATTTTTCTTCGAGTGTTTTACATCGCTGGAGAATTGCCATTCCAGATTACAGATGGAGTCTTCCAGAAGGGGACTTCTAACGAAAATCTGCGGGAATATCAAGAATGGAAAGAGTACCGAACAAAAAGATAAGGAAAGTATGCATGTCCAGCAAACGATAATAGATTAGATAGAGAGAAGACAGCTGGTATGGTATGGGCATATAGAAAGAATGGGTGAGGACCGAATACCTAAGAAAGTCTTGAAATAGTTACCATCAGAAAGGAGAAAAAAGCCAAAATCACACCAAAAGCAACATGGATTGGAGGAGTACATAAAGCTATGTGGGAGAGAAATCTTCATCTAGGAGATTGGGAAAATAGAAAAGGCTGGCAACTGGGTACCGGAAGGCATAGGACGTCTTCCAGAATCTTGAGTTTCGGGTTAAGTTGGTTTCCACTTGGCAAGCAGAACGGTTCTGGTCCAGTTGCTTTTTCATTGCCTTGTAGTACAGCTGGCACCCAGAGTAGGAGGACTTTATTTTCTTTCCCTAATTTGTTGTTGTTTCTCTAGACATTCTTTACATACAGAAACGCCAACATTCCCAATAATTGCCAGTCGCTCCGGAGCTTCTGTAAAGGAAGAATGTTGATATTATTGATTCTTATACTTTTTTTAACACTCTGAATGGACATCCCAGCCAAACAGTATCAATTAACCGGCCTAACCGGGCGTGAAACCATGCTCAGCCGAAAGTTAATAGCTAAACTTGATAGATTTGGATGTCCGAAGGGAAATCGAAGCCACACGATCGTATACGTCTTCGCTCGATTGGGCTGCGATATTATCGTCCCTCTCATTTGAATATTGGGATATAAATACGGGCGAGGCATCCAAACAATCATCAATTAACGACTGAAGTTTAATAGATAGACTCTGTTTTAACTCTATAGTAGATCTATCTAGCGTAATTTAAGTTAAAACAAAGTTTTGGAAGGTTTCATTGAAATGACCATAAATAAATTAATTTAACTACTAAAAATCACTCATTCTTCTTATTTAAAGTTGCTTTGAATAGCTTAGAAGATACTTTTTTGTATTTTTTTTACGGTAATTAAAAAAGACGCGAAGGTACACAGAGAGTCATGGCTTTGAGAGTTTGCTCGGCATACCGGACAACAAAATCGAAAAGAGGACGGTTCTTGATCGCTATTCCGAAGAATCCAACTAT